TGTATTCATTTCTAAAATAAAGGAATAGATCCCAAAATATTGGGTTGGGTAAAAAAAAAAAAAAAAAATCATATTTAGTGTCATAGTCTTTACCTCACAGGGCAAACTGCAATGATGCATGACTTTTTTTTACATTTTATTTATTATTATCATTATTATTAGTTCTGTTCTTGTAGTTGTCATTTTCAATATGACTGTGCATTAATAATTGTGACATTTGAAATATACTAGTATGTTCTGGAGAAAGAAACAGCTATGTTGCATTATAAAAATAGTGTACTTATTGTTTGTGGTTAATATACCATAATATTTATCTGCTTTTTATCTGTTCCTTTTGTCTATCTCTCTATCTATCTCTTGTGTGGTAAATGAGTTGCGTAGCTCTGTGGTATTGCCCATCGCTGGTAGCACACTTAAAGCATATTATGTACTGTACCAACTCTTGAGTTCTGTAAGTCCCTGTGAATCAGCTCTATGCATGTTGGTGTTTGTAAATATACCCAATAAAATATGAAAAGAAGCAATGTGCAAGTAGAGTGTGTGGTGCTGAAAAGGTATGTTGTGGTGGCCACAAATATAAAGTGTTTATACATGTCAGCTGCAATACCACAGATCACATTAAGATGTCACTAGATGAACAGAAGCTCCAAAGAGACAACTTCTGCAGAGATTAGGCTGAAGTGATCTGTTTAATTATAAACAAATTAAAAGCTAAAATTAGTCACTACCAATCCTCAAGACCATATAGCTGTCCGGATAATATTCCTAAACTACACATACAGTGATGCATTTGCACATGCCTTAAGTACATTCACTTCTTACACACACTTTGGGATATAATATCAAACCCACCTTATGCAAGTTTGTAATTAATAGAGACAGATCTAATTTCCATTATTAAGATATTTTGATCCCACATCGTGATTTCTAGAGCCAATCCATGTGTTCTCAATGTAAATTTTTCCCAATTAAACTGAGACTTTAAATATTTCTCAATACCAATTTATAACACTGCCCTCTTGTGGCACATACAGAAACATTTGTAAAATTATTACAGAAAATTATAGTCTAATATTTTACATCATTTCAAATATCACAAAAAAAAAACAATAGTCCATAACATATATGTATGAACTAATATTTTCTGTAATAATTATTTTTACTATATAATGTTAAAAGAATAAAGGTGACTTTATAATCATGGTTACTGCATCTAGACTATTTCCAATGAAGGCTGGTTTCCACCACATGAGAAAAAAAAAAGTCACATAAAAGGTCATTATGAGACAAAAAAACTAAAATTATGACATAATCATACAAAGTCAAGATTATTTATATTATAAAAATTGACAAAATTTGAAAACTCGGAGTCATAGTTATGACAAACAATCATTATGACATAGTTACAGTTTTTATGACATAACATAATTATGACAAAAAGGTCATAATTATGACAAAGTCATTATGACATTGTTACAGTCATTATGACATGATACAATCATTATGATATTGTTAGTCTTTATGACATAACACAATTATGACAGTTACAGTCATTTGACATAACATGATTATGACAAACAGTCATAGTTATGACATAAATATGTCATAATTATGGCATAAAAAGTCATAATTATGACAGGTGAAATTAGAACAAAAAGTTGAAATTATGAGATAAAAAAAGTCATAATTATTACATTAAAATTATGACTTTTACTCATAATTATGGCTTAGTATATCATCATTTTGACATAATTTTGTCATCAATTTGACTTTCTATGTTATAATATATAATTATGACTTAGTAACAAAAAGTTTTGGCATTATGTTATAATTATGGCTCACCAAAGAATAATTTTTTTCTAATGTTTTAGAAATGGCTCTAAAAGGACGACAAAAAAATCTTGTTATCTTTTGTGTTCTCAGAATTTAGTGCTTAAAGTGCCTGTCACAAATACTTTTTTAAAAGTAAAGCAAATGCTTAAAGTACCTGTCACAAATACTTTTTTAAAAGTAAAGCAAACCACCCACTAACAAACTGAGCAAGCAAATACACCAGCCAATACATTTTCTCTCAAGCACTATTATATCACCTCAAAAACCATAAATGGACCAGTTCTTACAACCATCTTACTAAAGTGTCCAATTATTTCCCAGACGGATCAGTTCCAGGTGACTGTGAGCGGATCAGCATTCTTCCCTGCCAGATAAGCTCCTGGAGAGAGGCTGAGGGAGTAAGGGATGGATGAAGGGTATGTGGAGGTGTGCAGCAGAGTCATGTCATCCGCATTATAGAAGCACACCTGACACCTGTCGCAGTCCAGGTACAGCCCTATCCTGCGTGGTTTCACTGTCAGATCTATCTCTGTCACTGTCTCATACTCTTTGATGCAGTAGCCTTGCTCATGCTTAAGGTGGAGCCCAATGTCCTTGTTTAAGTTGCTTATACACCCACCACCGAAGCCCACACTCCAGTCTATCTTTGCTCCTACATCCACCTCCCAGTAGTGCTGTCCTGACTGGAAGGTCTTGTGGGTCCGGGCCAGAGGCCTGTAGTCTTTGTGGCGTAAGAATATCCCCTTTTTGGATGTGCGGATGACGCTGCGTCCATCAGAGGAGACCCTCAGGTATGGATCATGACAGTCATGAATGACATTACGATCCGGGACTAAGACAAACGGAGAAAGACAAACGCAGCTTAGTTTATCATACACTGCTAGCCAAAAGTTGGAAATAATTATTATTTCTGAAATGTTTTAGAAAGAAGTTTCTCCAATGTTGCATTTATTTGATCAAAAATATAGTGAAAACTTTCATATTGTGTAATTTTATTAAAATTTAAAATAACTTTTCTAATGTAATATTAATATTAAAGGAGACACATTATGCCCCTTTTTACAATATGTAATATAAGTATCTGGTGTCCCCAGAATGTGTCTGTGAAGTTTCAGCTCAAAATACTCCACAGATCATTTATTATATCATTTTGAAAATGCCTATTTTGAGTGGAAGCAGAAACAAGCTGTTTTTTCGGGCCTGTCTCTTTAAATGCAGATGAGCTGCAGCTCCCTCCCCCCTTTTTCAGAATAGAGCTGCGCCATTACAGCTTGTACCTGCTAAAAAAACATCTGTTTTGGTTCTGATTATCATGTTTATTGCGCTGAAATCATGCAATTTAAACCATATGAGTTTAAACTTCTGATATACGGTTTTCTGAGAGCACACGGACAGAAAGCGGCTATCACAGCATGTGAGTACTAAACTAAGTTCTCATTCACACACAAGTTTACGTTAAAAACACACGAG